TTATAATTTTAATATAAATAATTATTATTTTTTAGATATTATTAGATTGGGCAATAAATCACGTAACTTTATTCGATGTAGATTAAATAATTAAATTATCATTTCTTGAATTATCCGGTAAAGATTAAAATAAAATCGATGAAAAAATTGGATACATATTCTCATTAATGCAAGTGGAAAGAGAAATGAATTAATTATTTAATAATTTAATTTTTTTCACTTTTTAATAAATCAATATGCCAATATTCTATCACATCATGTTTCAATGTGTCATGTAACAATGTATGTGTCATAATACTTATAGTACTTATTAACAAAAAAATATATCAAGATGTTCATTATCTGATCCGTTTATCATATATATATAGCTTTTTAAATATAGTTTTATCAAAAGCGCAATAAATGAAAAATACCTCATAAGTTTAATATTCAGGCAATAATGTATGTTTGAGATGTGACTTGGGCTGTGTATATATTGTCTTAAAACAGATATATAAATTTAAAATGCAATGTAAATAATAATAGAATATATGTATATGCCTTGTGTGTAATTAATAAGTTAGAGAATATGAAATAAATATAACAATTGTTTCTATTTTCCTATTTTACGAGTAAATATATATTTAATCTGCGTTATTATTAAGAAATCGTTTTGGTCATATGGATTTCAAAAAATTAGGAAAATATATAAATTTAAGCTAAGTATATTCTTCTACTTTGTCATACATTTGTAAAATAAATTTATTTTAAAACAAAGACTTCAAGAATATTAACTTCAGATACACCCAAGAAAGTCTAGATCTATCATTTATAAAAATTTTAATATATGTAAAAATATATGGAAAAATTATTTTTTAAATCTATAACCATTTTTGAAATTTAATTCGTATGATTTTTTTATAATTTTTGGGCAGATTTATGTGTGTTCTTTTTATATATCACGATAATTTAAACTTTAAAACCTGAAGTTATTAGAATATATTGCAGCAGGTGATACGAACTAATTTTCTTCGAAAGAAAGATTAAATCAAAATGAAAAAGTTATGATTGAAATAAAATATAATTGCGAATTCGAATTTTGACGATTTCCAATATTAAAATACACAATTTACACGAGTAAAATAACTTTTTTTCAGAACATTGTAATTATATTTAGTACCTTTTGCTAATATATTTTTCTAATAACTCATAAAATTTTTTGACAATATATTAAAATAAACAAAATTTCATCAGTCGAATCTGTTTTTTTTTATTTTATTTTATTTTAACTCCAAATTCAATTTGAAACTTTTATATGTGTACAATATTTTAATTTTATGCGTAGCCACGTACCAAATTTGAAGCAACATGAATAGTGCAAAGAAAAAGCAGTTGAGAATAAAAATACGGAAATTCGATTGTATAAAATACGCTGTAGCTGTAGCTGTATTATATTAATTTATTAAGCTCGCGTGTAGACAAGAGAATTTGCAGAATATTAAATTGTTTAATCAGATTATTTGTCACACATAAATAATCGATAATCGTGGAACTAATAATTACAGAATTGTGATTACATCTCTTTCGTATGACATAAATAGTACTATTTAACGATGTAATAGGTTGAAATTAATAGTTTGCGATGTTTATTTCCATAACATTGAGTAATATCTATATAACAATTCTGGAATAAATATCTACAATATCTAAATGTAAAAGCTATTCTATATTGACTAGATTCAATCATATTTCCGCTATTCTTTCTCAATACTTTGATATATTTACTATATTTAATGCTTGTTTGCATATACGGACGAATAAATAAATAAATAAATATAACTATATCTCATGTAATATAATTATATGAGAAACTAAATGAAATAAACTGTAGATAAACACATTTTGTGCAAATGTTTTAAAGAAAAAATTAATTTTTTGCAAAATATTAAATATGATTTCCTGGGACAATGTGAAATTTTATTGAGCTTAATTTCTATTCAGGTAAAAGTGTAATAGGTAAAATGAACGGAATGCTTTAGGAATGGTTCTTCAATGGCCAGTTTGGTAAAATATGTTACGTTTTATGTAAATGTACGTGCTACCGTCAATAATCGGACGGAAAATTTCTGAAATTCCTTATGATAATGCACAAATAACGTGACTGTTTCATGAAATACACTTTATAATCTAAATAAAAATTGCACAAGCTGACAGATCTTTTGTAATCATTGACATAATTTCGCTGCTATCATGTATACTGTTCATCAATCTGCTTTCTTAAAACTATATGGATATTTTATTCTGTTAGAATGGCAGCTTGTTATTATGAAATTGGAACATTATTCTTCTTCGTACAATAAAACCGTTTGCACTAAAATTAAATCCCGCGTTTTATAATATCAATTACGAGTAAAATTACTTTTTTGTTATTTACAGTGAGCATTTTGTAGACATTTTGTAGACTTTCTCTCACTTCGCACATACCGTCTTATCGTGACTGCGTTACTCACAAGGCATATGGTGCGGAAAATTTTATTCAACGAAGTCAATTCGTTCATTTAGCAGACTTCTTTGTCATCCCCATTAACCGCGTTATTCTCGCAATTCCCATAAGCTTCTGCGCCATTTTCTGTTTCGATCAAATTATGCAATTCTTTACATAATGCTTCCTCGCATACCTCTCCGTCTATTGCTGCATTCTCGATTATATTTTCATAATCATCCGCCTCATTCTCAACCGCCTCCTTAAGATCAGATTCTATTATCTCTTCACAACTCTTGAACATCTCGGGATTCTCATTCAAATTTAACACCTCGGGATTTTCGTTTGAATTCAAAATATCTGTATTGACTTCGTCGTCCGTTGTGTCCGTAGACTGTGATACTTTCTTCAGCACACTGTCTACTAGATTAGATGCGAAACTTTTGTTCTCGTTTCCCTCGTGTATCGTCTGATGTATCGGCAAACTTTGTGGTCTATTAGGACGTCCATAGGGAAACGTGTTTTCCTCGCCTGCCGGTGTATGTACAGCGGATATTTCCGTTTGAGTAGCGACACCATTATCGACAAGGGCGGGTTTTGGCTTCATGCTAGACATGCAACGTTTTATTTCTGTCATCGAATCCTGCAATTGTTGAACCTAGTAACAAAAACATGTGAAATATCAGAAAAATGGAATCACGGAATCTCTTGCAAAAAAAAATCTAGAAAAATAAATAAGTATGTATAGACAAAGATGTTTAGATAAGAAATAATAATCAAAAAATAAATCAAAAACAATAAGTATCAAAAACAAATCAAAGAATTTACTCGGTAGATTTTAATTCACCGATGATTTAGAAAATTTGTCTAAAAACTTGCCTGAGTATGAAGCAGATTACACGTTTGCGCAAGATTATTAACTACATCTGCGTTTGGTTGCAGAGTATTATCCATATCACTAAAGGTATTTTCTCGATTGCCACCCGGTTGCAGGCTAACCACTTTTTTCCATAACGCATTAATCGCTTGCATCTGCAATAATTGTAATTTATGCTCGCTCTCGAGAGCAGTTCTCGTGGCTTCCATATCTGTCGACAATTTCCTAAAAAATAGTTCATACACATACACACATATATATATATATACACATTTTATGTAATAAATAAAACATTACGCACGAAGAAAATGAAGTCTTACTGAATGTATTTATTCGTTCTTATCATGTCGATTGTTTTTAATATACTAGTGGCTTTTCTATTAAGGTTCCTGGTATGATAGCCTCGCCACATTCTTTGAATACAAATAGCAGCTTTCTCAGTTTGATCTTGATCTGACAACATAAGAAAATATTGATTGGGTTTCGTCATAGATAAAATATCTATTAATACTAGAAGTATCGAAAGGTCATTTTTTACCATTTCTAAATTTTAAAATATTTTTTTTAAATTAATACTTTTTACTGATGTAAAAATCAAAAATAGAATTTAGATATTCTGACTTTAATATTCCAGAATAAAAACAGTAATTAATGAAAAATTTCTAAAATCTTTAATATAAAAAAAGATATCGATTAATTTAAAAAATAGAAATGATGAAAAATAACTGTTCTCTGTCTCAGTATTATTATTAATACTATATCTAATGTTAAGATATTTTAGACAACTTACCTTTATTACTGTCTTCTTGTCTTCTTTGAATAGCCCTATGCCGAATGCTATCCAATTTCGCTTGACATACTTCGCTATCCTCGTCGCTACTCTGAATTCCAGTATCGCCATCTTTTTCATCCTTGTTCAAGTTGCTTTTAAGTCTCTCGTTCGCGCTTTTTGGTCGCTGTATATTCCTGGCTAAATTAGGACTCCTTGTATTCTTCTTCGCTGGCAAGGTCTTGCTTTGAACGTAATTATTAATTTTTACGCTGTGCGGACACTTGCTATTAGCATATGTTACGACCGGTTTAGCTATATTCGGCCTCAATTTGTCGATGCTGCAATTTGTCGCGGAACTACTTTTCACGAGAGCGTTCGCCTTTATAACGCTTAGATTCATTTTTGCCATTGGATTTACGGTGTTTATGATAGGAATTGCCTTTCCGTCGCCGTCCATGGATGGTTTACCGGGTATTGTGATTTGACAGGGAGAGTTTAATTTACTTGGCGTCGGAGTCTTCGGTAAAATTCGCGAAAGACCAGACGGCGGACGAAAATCTGGACTCATCAGAGACTCTGGTACCGGCACTAATTTCGTAGCTGCTTGCAAAGGACTCGATGTCTCTGAATAGAAATAAAGATATATTTTATTCTAATCTGATTATATCCGATTCACTTAATTATGTAACTGTCTTACCTTCCATATCCTGAAAACTGTTGTTTGATATTTTGTTGCTCAGTGTGCCGGAGAGCATATTAGGATCTAAACTTTGGGTCATCAGATTTGTATCATGATCGCCGCTTAATAAACCATGACACGAAGACACCATAGCGTCGGTATGACAACTCGAAACCATTCGGTCTGGCGATTTCATCTTCAAATTCCTCGAAGAAGCTGGCAAAATATTTTTAATGTTATAATTAATATTTATCATGCGATAAACAGAATTGCATCATTTATACAAGATTCATTTATGTGCTTGGAAAGTTTCTGATGCTAGCACCGCTAGCAAAAGCATGCAAATAATATATAGTCTAATAAAAATAAAAATTCTATGCTATTCAAAGAAAAGATGTGAAAAAGTTTCTCCAAATCGTCCTATGCTAATATGCTAATCAAGTTTTCTCTAAGTGTAGCGCCTCTGTATTGATATTTAAACTGCTTTCATTGGCCAATGATTGTTTGCACTATAAGCCTAAAGAAGCAATCGCTTAGAAGACTATGCATGAGAGAGCTATAAGAAGGTGCATGAATCTAAATCAATAAATTCTTTTATGATTTATTAGATATGTAAATAATTGATTAATATTTGTTAAAAATAAAATATATAAGAGATACGAAAAATGTAATAATAAAGATATGATATAAAATTATACATACTTAATGTTAATGCAATGAATTTTCATACATACATATGTATGTATATACGTATATATATATATACATCATACATAGGTTTCAACACACGCACACAACGCGTGCACGTATAAATATTGAATGCTGTGTGTGTGTGTGTGTACGCGCGCGCGTGTGTGTATGTCAATTATCTAAATTTTCTCGTTCAATTTAGTTTGCATTATTGTATAACAATACAATGACTTTATTAAATAAAACATATAAGTTTTTTAATTAGTCACGAATTTTAAAAGATGCAAACGCCTTCAGATTCTTGCACATTCCTGCTGTATAGTTTTATTCGATATGATAAATCCTCAATATGACCTTGGATACCTTTGCAAGGAATATGGCAGACACAGTATTTTGCTTCATAAAATTTTGGTGATTGTAAGTATCTATCTTCATAGTATGTCAACATTGGCACTAGAGAAAACAGATCATAACTAGGATGTGTCTACTGAAGAACTTGACAACTGGAAAATCTAGATCACTACTGAAATCTAGTTCTCTCGTCGCAACTATGAGTAAATATGAGTCTAAGAATCCTCGGAAAAAAAGAACTCCAGAGTCCTCGGTATGGCACTACACACAAAAGAAAAAAAAAGTAACAATGGATTCATCGGACTCACTAGGTCGTCTGGGAGAATTTGTCCTGTTATGGCTAAGTCTACGTCTAGCGGCTGGGGAAGAACTCATTGCCACGCTACTCAAGCTGTGCACGCTTCCGGTATCGCTCTGCTGATTCAATTGCTGTTGATGATGTTGAGCTTTGCTCAGTATAAGTCTAAGTTTTCTGTCTGTCTCGTTTTCTAAGGACTCGCCCGAGAGCGGACAGACAGATGCAAGATATTGAGCAAGTAAGGCGTGTTCACCAACACGGAATTGTCTACCCCGTCCTTGAGAATACAGCCACTCTGCTTTCAAGCTAAGTAAAGTGAGTTATTGCCAATCAGTTTCGATCGTCGGATATTCATTCGATGGATTAACTTTTTATATGTGACATGTATATTTTAATCAAGTAAAAATATATTTCTGAAGAACCCACCTTTCAATAGGATCGACCGCATAACCGTCGATTGATTTCAAGCTCATACACCAATTAATAACAAAAGGCCGATAATCAAACCCACTACAGATGTTTGTTAAGAATAATATGCTATTGCTACAATTAATATAGACTAATTTCCTTATATCTAATAACTGCAAAAGCTGTATTTAATCGGCAAAAATTAATGCTTCTGACAATTAAAAAGATAGAACGTTATAATATCAGTATATAAAAGTCTTTCTAGCTATAATTAATAATGAGAAATAACACTGAGAGAAATGCTAATTTCTAGAAATATGGAATAATGGAATAATAACGTGAGCGCGTGTTTTCGAAAAGGATACATACTGTTACCTGTCATACTGACACACGGATTGTTAGCAATTGAGAAGTTGACCAGGTTTTTTAAATTAGCCAAGTGCGACATTTCATTTAAATCAGTAATATTGTTATTTGCCAGCGTGAATGTTTCCAGGGATGTAGGCAAGTAGCGCTCACACTGGCGTAGTGTTATTATGCGATTATTATGCAAAAAAAGTTCCTAAAATATTACTCATCTTACAAAAATACAAAAGACCGATCGATGCATCAAATAAAATCACAAATCAATAAAGTTTGTGCAAAATTATTACGCGGTCATTCAATTATAGCCGCATAATAATTTTGCACAAACTAGAGATGTGTGAATTATTCAAAAACGAAATATATCGAATATATATAGGATGAAATTTCCATTCCAATTTGAACCTCTTTAATTTGAATCTAAAATTTTCACATTTGGAAATTTCAAATCTAAAAGATTTAAATTATATTGACAATCTTGTACTGAATTATTTTATAAGAATATGTTAATTAAAAGTTACATCATTTAACTATTAGATTCGAAAGTAAAAATAAGATTTAATTCAATTCGTTATAAAAAATCCTTGATTCGCACATCTTTAGCAAATATGACAAATATAACAATGTACCTTCAAATTTCGCAGATAAGATATGTCTGAAATATGGCTAATACTATTTTCAGACAAATCCAGGTGTTCCAATTTGATATTTGTATGCAGATGTTCAATAGACTGTAACCATTATTACATAAGAAAATGTTACATGTTACATTTATGCAATTAATCCTTTTAATCTAACATATATCATACCTTGATATTATTACCCGCTAAACAGAGAGTTTGCAAATTAGTCATGTCCTTGATACCTTCTATTGTCAGAATACCATTGTTTGCTAAATTGAGGGTAACGAGATTATGTAACTTTGATACACCATACATCCGTAGTAATTGATTTCTGATTATCGAAAGCTGAAAGTGATAGAATTATAAAGTGCTATTATATTTTAATACAAGTTATCTTTATTACATTTGTAAAATAAATTATTTTTATATTGGAATATATATGTATATATTTCATTGGATATATATATATATATATATATATATATATATATGGATATTTTTACAGTAACAGCTAGATTTCAATATTTAATTTTTAATCAATATTATTACATCTATTATCAAGGTATTAAAGGAATATAATTCCAATTTTGGCCAACAGCCTATTAAATTTATATATAAGTAAATTCAAAAATAATTTAGACATTTCCAAAATCTAGTTCTAATTATAAAAATGCCATTCTTATTTCTAGTATAAAATACTTTGTTGATTTATATAAATAACTTATATTTATAACTTTGTATTATATATTGCAGATTGAAATGCTGTAATTCCGCGTTATTAATTTTCCTAATCAAAACTTTATATAACATCTGCAGTTTTCAATTTTCTCGCGAAGACATTGCTGAGAATAATGTAATGAAGAAATCGAGCTCAGAAGTCAGTGGAGTGAAGGTCATTAGGTTTCATTGTAGAATTCTACGATCAATCACGTGCAAAATCTGTGAGATTCTCTCGCACGTATTACCTTCGTAATTCTGTGGTAAGAATCGAGATTATCGAGCCGCTGCAGATCATTGTCGTCTATGATCAGCGTGCTAATGTCAGCGTCCGAGGGACAGCGGCTGAGCTTCTTGAGGCCCTGGCCGCTCAAATCGAGGATGTCACATACCAGAGATTCTGAAAACGAGGAGGAAGCTATCAGTAAGAGTCGCGATCGTAACGAATGTAAACATCGGCGCCGAGCTAAGTCAGCCTTGATGAGTGCGCACGACGGAAAATGCGAAAGTAAATCTCGCCGGCATGTCAAGCAGACGCGAAAACGTGAAGCGTAAGACGGATGATTTCCCGTCTATGCCACGCTCCACCATCGCTGACGATAAGTTAATTAAAACATAAATTAAACGGCGATTCCGCCAGGCTCACTAACCCGTCGAAGCCATGATGAACACAATAAACTGGCGGACGCCGAGAATGCCGAGATGTCGTCGCGGTCACGATACGAGAATCGATATGTACGAGTTAGATTTAGACCAGACCCGACTCACAATTTATTTTAATCGGAATTTCATTCATTAAACTTGACCCCAAAAAAAACGTTATGTTCCACAATTAACTTCGATTAATATTAATTCGTTTTGTAATTACAAATAAATATTTCTATTACACACACACACACACACACACACACACACACACACACACACACACACACACACACACACACACACACACTACACACACACACACACACACACAC